AAAAGAAAAGAAAAGAAAAGAAAAGAAAAGAAAAGAAAAGGCTTTCACTTATTCGGGGGCCACACAGCTAGTGACTACTGACAGGAAAGAATTCGGGTCTCCTAACTCACGACAATGCTTATTAAATTCCCTGAAGTTCTGTTTGTAGAGCCCCCTCTGGACCCTGGGGGACGCTGAGGTTTCCGTGATACCGGTGGAGAGGGTTCCCGGCTTACCTCAGATTGGAGCCAGAGATTCACCTTCAGGAAAAACAAAGGTGGGGAGTCAGTCACAAGCGAAGACTTGAGCAGAATTAAAGGAAATCTGACGAAAGGAGTTAATTAACCAGACTACGATTCCGCTTCTAGACTGGATAGGCCGAGAGGATCGAAGTTACAGCCACAGTGCAAGAATATCAACAGTCACAGGGCCTGGCTATTCAAACCTTCCGCCTCCCCAATAAACCTATCCCATTCACTTCAAGACTGCGTCAGCCAATCTGCGCCCGCGCGCGCCCAGACTCCTTTGGCCAATCGTTTGGCTCTACATCACTAGGCGTGACCTTGCTTTGGATGGAACACAATTTGCCCCGCCCCTCAGCCAGAGCAGGATGCCGAATGGTCAGGGTTCAGTAAACCGCTAGGTAAGCCCCGCCCCCCGGGTGCCTGGCACACCATTGGCTCTCCCTCTGGCCAATCTCCACACCCTTCCTGAGCTCTCTATTCCCTTAGCCCTTCCAACCCCGGGAGATTTAAACTGGACTTCGGTAGCGAGTACTGCTCTTTAAGATAATACCTGGAGAGAGTTGTTTGGGTGACAGGGTGTTTTAAACTTTTCTTTCCCCTTGCTTCTTTCTTGTGTCGTTACTTGGGCCTTTTCATCTTCGTTTTTCTTGCCTTCCGTTGGAGATGGAGCATTTGCCACCGGTATGGCAGATGTTGAGGCGAGACAGGTGTGTGTATTTATGCTACATTTATGTATTGACCCCTTCCAATAGCTTTCATTGTTTCCAGTTCCTTTTAGAGCTCAGCATCTCTGAGACTCTAGGTTATGCAGGATAAAGGAAATTCCTTTTCAGGGAAAACAGGGGAATTAAATCATCTCTTGGTATAATCCTTATCACAGTCCAAAGGATCCCAAGCTTTGGCCGTTTATGGAAATTTGAACATTGATAGGTGATACCAAGAATTTATTCTTAATGTTGGGGATTTGAATAATCCTGCGGGAGTGGTGGTGGGTATAGATGGTGGGTGGTGGGTATAGACGAAACAAGATTTGCCATGAGTATTAAGCAATGGGTAACTGGGGGTACATTATATCACTACTGTCAAAGTTTAATCATCTGGGGACCTTGTTAAAATGCAGGTTCTGATTCAGTAGGTCTGGGTTGGGGTCCAAGATTCTGCATTTCTAACAAGCTCCCAGCTGATGCTGATGCAGCTGGTCCTGAGACCATACTTTGAGTAGCAAAACATTATGGCATGCTCTTCTTTATTTTTGAAATTTTCTACAAACACAAAAAGATGTTCAAAATAACTTGGAAGCTCTTTGAAGGCAAGCTCCTTAAAATGATGAATCAATAAGTAGAGAGTGGGGCCTAGGAATTATCAAGGCACTACTCATGCTGATGGTTTGCAAATCACATTCTGAGAAACAAATAAGCAATGCAACAGTTGAGCCACAAACACAACCTTTATCCGGTGTCCACATCTTGGTGGTGGTAGTTGCTAAGAAGTACAGCATAGTCAGCTGGGTTTTATCCTAATACCCTTTTCATATGGAGAATCTGCTTCCCCAGAAAGGAGGTATGTGAAGAGTCTTTGTTCTCTGGGATTGAGATGGTGAGTGTGGGAGTCAGCACAGAGCCCTGCCATGCTAGGTGAGTTTGAAAAACAGACTAGGGGTTAAGGGAGTGTGTGTGGGATGAGTTGGTTTTTACTTTGAAAACCATAATCACACTTCATGGGACCATTGTATACTTCCCCTGCAGGTGGGAGGTAGAGACAGATGAAGTTGTTCTACAGCGGCGGCAAAAACAGATAGATTATGGCAAGCGCACACCTGGTTACCAGTGTTTCCTGCAGCAGGTCCCCAAGTGAGTGCAGTTGTGCGGGGTCACAACAAGCATGTCAGCTAAGTGGCTTTGGTTCAATGTAGGGTGATGGAAAGATATTAGAATATGAATGCTCTCACAAAGTCTCATCATTACTAAAACTAAGTCTCCTGAAATGTAGCCCCTAAATAAATTTTCAAGACTTTTTTTTCAAATGGAACAAATCCTACTTGGCCCATGAGACTTTCAAAAGCTCAATCCATGTTTGCTAATGAAGTTTTTCTTTCCAACCATTTTTACTTCATACCGCCAGCTGACTTCACTAATTACAATATACTTGCCTAATTACATGTAAGTTTCCATGCATACGGGCAAACTAAATGTATAAGGAGGTAGTATGTATTTTGAAGGGATGTCAGATACTGTCTTTTATATCTATCTTGACTTCTGAGGGAGTTGGAATATCTAAATTACCCTTGCCAGAAGAATATTAGGAATTTAGGAAGTTTGGTGCTTAATCCCAACTGAAGATTTATTTTTTCTATTGAATTGCGGGCATTGATCCTACCTGACTCTTAAGAAATCCTAATGAGTCTTCTGATTCACTGTGATAAACTGACCTATGCCCCTTCCCCCTGACCTGAGTCTGACACGTATCTGTCATTACCAGGGCAAAGCGACAGCCAGGACTTCACCCTCAAACACCAAATAAGAACAGGAGGTACAGCCGTCGCTCGTGGGATGCCCAAATCAGGCAGTGGAGAAGAGCTCTACATTCTTGGGACCCCCCCAGCCAGCCTCTGCAGGGCAGGGGGGCTGAGGGGTGAGTGCATTATTCTTGGTTTCTTGTTTGAGTGGTGGACTGAGCCCCACCTCTCCTTACTTTGCAGGGGTTTAGCTTTTAATGGCTGAAAAGGGAGAGTCTGAATGAGGTGCATGTTCCTCTGACTCTGCTGCATTCGTAGGCAGGGGATGGAGCATCTCTTAGAGCCAATGGGTTCCACCCCTTTGGATGACCTTTTGGATGACTGGTTCCAGGCCCTAGAACCCTCAACGAATCTGGATGGAGACCAGAAGGGAGCCCAGGTAGTCTTCTATCCACCTATCTTCTACCTGTCTTCTAAATCCCACTGGTGCACTGTTAGATATGGAGTCTGGCCTATGAGGTGACAATTAGCATGGGGTTCAAGGTAGTAGTTCAAGAATGAAAGAAGGAAAATGGGGCAGCAAGAAAAAATAGGACATGAATAAAAAACTCTGAGAACTAAAGGTGGCATAAGGAGATTTAATTATAGTTAGTAATGGCAGGGAAGTTGGGCTGCACTGGGGGCTATCTTATACTTGATGAAAGGGGTATAATCTTCCTTGGAATTGAGGCCTGAAACCTGACGTGGAGGATTTGGGTGTTTGTTTTTTTCAAGTGTCTCATTTTATAAATGTTTTGCATATGAGCCAATGCTAACTTCTTATTCTCAATCATTGAACTTTATTAAAGCATTGTTAATAATAAAAGGATAATAAATAACAAAATTATAAAAGAATAATAAATAATAAAAAAAGGAGGATCATCAAGTGGTGAAGACCAAGGACTTTAAAGCATCAAGGACTGCTCTGTAATATTACCTTTGCCTACCAGATGGGCAGTCACTTAATCTCTCCAACCATTTCATCTGTCAAATAGAGACATTTGCTCATTTCATGATTCTAAGCAAAAATGAGAATACTTTTTTAAAGTATGTAGCACGGTGTCTGGTACATAATAAGTGCTCCACAACAGTAATTACTGGAAACCATGTCTCCTATACTTCATGGCCTTGTTCCCTCTTTTGCCAAGGGGAAATGTGCAGGGCAAGGGAATATGCAGTGCATCTATCTTCCCTCCACCCCTATTTTCTTGATAAATCTCACTTTCTCTTCACTCTTCTTTTTCAGTTTGCAGACTTGGTGGCTCCTGCCTACTCCCTTCCCTGGCTCTGTGAGGAAGATCCCCACCACTGGTGCTACTTTGTAGCTGATCAGTTACATATCTGTCCTAGACTTGAGTGGGGCACAAAATATTTAGAGAAAACAGACGTCTTTCAAGGGACTTGCTGCTAAGTTGTAATAGTGTAATAGTTGTAATAGTGAAGATTATTTGCATTACTGCTACTTCCCAATCGATTAAAAAAGAAATCTAAAACTGCTGTACAAAAAGATGGCAACACGAAGGCATTGTTTAAAGCCTCTTTTTCTTTTTGCCTTTCTTTCTAAACCTTTTTTGATAGCTGAGCCTCGAATTTACATGAAAGTCAGGAACCATTTAGCTGTTCCTCACCCTCTTCCCTACTAACGTCTACATGCAGTCTTTTCGAAAAAAGACTTAAACTTTGGCTGAGGTGGGAGATGGTGGTAGTGGTGGAGATTTAATAAAGGGTGGTATCCTGTTCCTAAAGAGGAAATATACGGACATGAACATCTTTTCTCCAGCTGCCTGTTTCCTCCCTCCCTGTCTTAAGTGGTCCAGCTGTAACCACCATACTCCTCCTTCCCTCCCCCCCCAACCCACCCCCGCAAGCAACTGAACCGCCTATGATGTCATAATCACAACCCCATTACCTCATCCTGCTCGGGGGTGGGGGTGCGTAGAGGAAGGAAGAGTAGTGGACAGCCCTGGGCCCTCCGCAGCTTCACAAAGTGTTTGGGTGAGGGCTAATTACAAAACCAATTTGGAACGGCCGCGCAACCGTTGCAAGTCCTGGGTTTATAAGGTTCGAGGCGATCCGGCAGCTTGAAGAGGGGCTCCTGGGACTCGGAGCAGGCCCTAATCGACTCTTGGACTACATTTCCCAGAAGCCTTCACGCCGCGGACGGGTCCTCTGCTGGCGGAAGGGGGATTCCTTCTCCGAAGCAGCCCTAGAGGGCCGGACAGGAGAGCAGGTAAGAGGAACTTCGGCTAATTCTGTTACGCGACTCAAATCGAGTAGAGGGCTGTACTTAGGCCAGTGTTGGAATGGAGGGTGAGGGGGATGGCTTTGTTTACCTTCGTCCAACACGGCCTCCCCCGCGAGTTTCGAGATGTGCCGCCAACTGGGTCCGTCCACCTTCTGCAGTATTTTGGAGGGGGTGACTCGATAGTGAGGAAACCACCTTCATCCCTAAATCAAAGAACCTGTCTCATTCCCGACAGTACTTTCCAAAATAGACTTTGGGAGAGAAACGGCTTAAGGCTCGAGCCTCCGCGGGCGGTTCAGGAGGATTCCGCGAACCAGAGCGATCTCCCTACTCTCCTTAGGGGCCCTTTGGTTCGCGCCGGCGCCTTTTAAGGGCACCGTGGGGCGAACGGAGCGCTCAGAGCTGCTCCGGCCGCGGCCCTGGGAGCTGGAGGAGCCGCGGTAGGTGGCGAGGGCAGGTGGCGCTGGGGCCTCGGGGCGGGCACCTCGGCCGTCCCTCCCTCCTTCCCTCTTTCCCTTCCCCCAGCCCGGCCGCGAGCGCCGCACGGCCTCTCTGGACGCCTCCGCGGGGAGAGCACGGGACCCGGTGGGGGAGGGGTTGGCGGAGTGCTAAGTCCCAGACCCTCTTCATCCCCAGCGTCCTGAGTTCGCTTCCCGCGGCCAGGTGATGGAAGCTGATATGGGAGGAGGTGAACGACAGCCCCTCTGAGCGAGCCCTTGTGCCCCCCAGGGGCCAGCGGACGCCCCATGCCCCACCCCGCAGGGACAGGCAGGGCAACCGAGGGAGAGGTTGAAGACTGGAGGGGGGCCTAGCCTTTTGCTTCTTCATCGGGGTGGGGGGAGGGGTGCTCCCCACTTGTCACCCCTATCCCCGCCAGAGCCATATGGAAGAAGGAACAGTCAGATCCTCAGTTACATGTTCATGCACCTCCCTGCCTTCCTCATGTTTTTCTTCAGTCTCCCCCAGAGGTGTGGGCCTGGGACCTGGGGGTGGGGTGGGGGGGAAGGTCCCCAGGGGATTTGTGACTCTCTTACCCCTTGGCCTGACTAGATCCTAGGTTCTTCAGTTTTCATCACAACCTCAGCATCCCTGAAACCCGAATGTCAGGGGTTACTGCCATCCAATAAGAGATGGGATGGGGGTCCAGTCTTTATGTTAGGGGGCTGATGGTGGAAGGAAAGCCTGGATTGAGAGTTGGGCCTGGTGGGGTCGTGGGGAGGGCCTAGCGGCCTGCTGCTCTGTGAAGGGCTGAGCCCTCTGCCAGTTGTTAAGCTGAGAAGTTTTAACTTGTTTAGTGAAGGTTCAGGGCTGTCTTTGCCCCTCAGATAAACAAAATGGAAGGGGAAGGAAGGCGGCAAGAGAGGGTTTCTTACACTTTTTTCTATGCCTGCCTGAGAAAGAGGAGGCCCCTCGCGGAGCTGGTTTGCCTTCTTTTGTGTCCTGGTTTGATTCCTTATGGCTTCCGTTCTGTTCCCCCTCTCAGGCTGGCCTGTTTTAGGAAACTCAGGCTGAGAGTATCAGTTGCGTGGTGGTAGTTGCATTGTTCCAATTACCGCCGTGTGTGGCCACATCCCAACAATTAAAATGCAGAAAAACACAAAATCACTCTCTTCACTTGATCCCAGAGAGGGCTGGGAGTTTGCTGTTTGGCCAAATGCCTCATGAAAAGCTTGAAAGAGTTTGCTTCACTCCCTGCTCTTCATGGCTGGTCAGTCTGAGGCCTGTGATCTGTGGGGTAAAAGCCTTCAGTTAGGTTCCCTCTCTAGTTGATCTTTTGGGGGCAGAGTTAAGAAACCAAGAGCAGAAAAGCTTTAGCTTTTCCTCCAAGAACATAGAAGCTGCTGAAGGGAGCTCTCGGGAAGCTGGAACTTTGTTCAGGGTGGTGATAATTATGCGTGAAAATGATAGTTATCTGTAATGATGACTGACTTCTCCCAGACCTTTCTTCCAAAAAAACTCCACATACATCCACATGTATTTCTTTGCTTTTCCTTACCTACCTCTCCCTGAGGTGGGGATGGGGTCAAGATGATTCCCTCTTTTTTTTGCAAAAGTAGAAAGTGATCTGCCTCCAAGGTCACAGAAGAGCTGTTTTGGGCTTCCCTAGGTGTGCAGATGAGGAAGGGTGGCGTCCAGCCAAATAGATAAATCCAATTGCCTTCTTCAGCTTAATATCATCACTTGTGGCATTCTTAGCCTGTGTAGAGCAACAAACAGGAGGGTTTGAGAAACAGCAGTCTTTGTGGAGTCCTGATTTGTACAGGCTAGATCCTATGCTTTTTACATTTTGGTATTTCATGTTATATGGTACCTGTGACAGGTTAAGACATATTTATTGTGCCCATTTTATATACAGGTTAACTAAGGCCAAGAAAAGTCAAGTGACTTCCCAGAACTGTCACAGCAAATTGGAGCAAGATTTAGATTTCTTGAATGTTTGTTTTATCTACTAGAGAATGCTATATACACCCTCTGATGAGCTGTCTGCCTGCTGGTCATTTCTGGGAATAGGCAGAACCATATGGAAATACTAGGTTAAACTCCTCTCCTCCATTGAGCAAGGCCCCTCAGGCAATTGTGTAGGCTGGAAGCCTGTTCTTTGATAGAATTAGTTTGCTTCTACTGAAATTGACCATGAGAAGGAGTCTCAGTTAATTGTATCCATGGTCTTTGAGTCAGATCAGGCTAAAAACTTAGTTGAATGAAGTCATACAGTTGTTAACATCTATCGAGTTGAAATGTAATTGGAATAATCCTGGTTCCATTTCTCTGTCTTCTTAGCTTTGTAAGAGAATGTATACAGTATCTGTTAGAAAACAATATAACACAATATACATTCAGGCTAAGGGAGAACATGAAACCTTGTTCACTCTGATTGGTCTAAAGGAAAAAGTCATTCCTACAACCAGTGCTCCACCCTGTTCCCTATTACTATTTGTGTGGTTTAGGAAAAATGTATCTCTCTGTTTCTGATTAGAGGATAAAATAAAATATTGGGGTAATCAGGATGGAAGTAACCATTTGGGTGTTGTCTCTCACTTGAGCTGTTTTTTAAGTGGTACCGGTAGTCTGGGTAGACAGAGCAGAGCATGAACCAGGTTAGGAGTGGCAAATAGGTTTCAACTTGCTTGCTAACTCCAGTTCATTTTACTGGTTAACTGGAGTGCCACGTTCAGAATGTTTCTGAGGCTGTGTTTAGGCTTAGCAGGAAAGAGCTGTGATCAATTAATGATGTCTGCCAGAGGCCTGGCATAGGGATGCTGTGGTATGTGTGCCATGCATTTTCCACCTTTGGGCCAGGTACATCTCTAATATCACTTGGGGCTGGTCCCTCTGTAATTGGCAGACTCAGCAGGCATGACTGGAGAGGGGAGTCCCAATGGTGCTAGAATGGTGCTGCAGTGGCAGAAGACGGCTCACGAGTGAGGTCTGGAAGAACAACAGGGAAGACATCCATCATTTGCTCCAAAGTGTGCAAGTCATATCCTGGGGAGAATCATGATAACCCTGATCACTGAGCAGCTACAGAAGCAGACTCTGGATGAGCTGAAATGCACACGCTTCAGCATCAGTCTGGTAAAAGACCAGTCTTCCTGCTTCTCTACCATCCCCTCCCCCTTTTTTCTGAGGCTGTTTGTTGCTACTACTTTACCCATGTCCTGTGCCGTATGAGTCATGGTACTTGTACTAGAAGAGCCTACTAAAGGCTCAGAACCCAGCCCAAAAGGAAGGGGGCAGGTATTTTTCCACTGATAGAGAAGGGACACTAAAACTTGGGTGGAGAAGGGTATGAGATGTTGGAAGATGTGGATTATTTTACTCACTAACTTTGGGAAGACAACAAGAAGAGAACATTTAGGAGTCCCTAACATCTCTATAGCCCATGAATTACAGGGGTAAGCTGAAAAGGGCTTCCTGGAAATCTGTGTCCTGAGCCTGAATCATGATGGATATCCTCTCTCTCTCTTAGCCTCTGCCTGATCATGCAGACATCTCCAACTGTGGGAACCCTTTCCAACTTGTGTCTGGTAAGGCTTTGTATGTGTGTCTGTGTGTATCTACACCTTTCTTTCATTGGTTTCCAGTGACCAGGGCCAGCTAGTCTATCTCCACAATTTTCTTGCCAGGGTCACCTGCTGAGATTCACACTTATCTCCATTTTCCTGCACCTGCATGGAGCTTATTTGTTTAGTTTGCTCTTATTCTAGCCTTGACAGGACTTTTATAATCTGATTTTTTTTTTAAATAGGTAATACATTCATGTGGTTCAAAAAATTTAAAGGGGCACTTGGGTGGCTCAGTCGGTTAAGTGTTCCACTCTTGATTTCAGCTCAGGTCATGATCTCAGGGTCGTGCCCCTCATTGGAGCTCACTTAAGATCCTCTCTCTCCTACTCCCTCTGCCCTTCTCCCACACACACTAAAAAAAATTTTTTTTTAAATCTTTATTTATTTTTGAGAGAGACAGAGTGTGAGCTGGGGAGGAACAGAGAGAGAGGGAGACACAGAATCCGAAGCAGGCTCCAGGCTCTGAGCTGTCAGCACAAAGCCCAACGCGGGGCTCGAACTCATGAACCACGAGGTCATGACCTGAGCCAAAGTCGGACACTCAACCAACTGAGCCATCCGGGCACCCCTCAAAAAAAAATTTTGTGAATAATAAATATATTGAAAAAAAGTCTCCCTTCTCCATCTAGCTCCCGCCACCTCCCCAAAAGCAGCTCGTGTTATTACTTTGTCTATCCAACTAGAGTTTCTTTATACAAATAGAAGCAAATATAAATGTGTACTTTTTATTCCTTCAAAAGGTTGCATACTATATATATTATTTGGCACTTTTTATTTTTTTAGTTAACTACACTCTAGCTAGATCTTTTGGTATCAGTGTGTTAATTGGAGCATTTCTTTGTGGGTGGCTAGACAACAAAGGAACATGATAGTCTTAGGGTTTCCATCATCAAAGGCCTTCCCCACTCTGTTTGCCCTCTCTAGGAATAAAAATGATCTCTTACCTGCTCGATTACCTCTTAATCCTTGGCAGCCCTAACTCTTGTCTGGGTGCTGGTGACATGTAGGAAGGAGAAAGATTAAAGAAGAGCATGGGCCTGCTTTTTACAACCTGGGGCTGGTAGGTATGGAAGCAGAGTAAGGCTAGGTGGAGTGAAGTATGAGCAGGGCACACATGCTTTTTTTTCTCTTGACTGTTTGTGCCTTTGAGAGGGAGTGATACGCGGTATTTGAGACTATTTTTAATTTCAGGTGGTTCCTCATAATGGAGGCAGTATAGTCTAGTGGTAAGAGACCTAGCCTTAGCATCACACAGACCTGGATTTGAATCCTCCTTTGATCATTTCATTCCTACATGACCTAGGACAGGTTACTGGACTTCTCTCATCTGTGAAATGGGGATAATAGTACCTACCTCCTGAGGTTTGGGGAAACCTCACATAAAGTGCTCATTATATTTTGTGGCATATAGTAAGCTCTTAAAAATATATTAGCTATCATTAATACTATTTTTATTATGAATGCTTTCCAGAAGGTGCTTCCTGGAGGGGTCTGCCCCACTGTTCCTGTGCTGAGTTCCAGGACAGCCTCAACCTCAGCTACCACCCCTCGGGCTTGAGCCTGCACCTCAGACCACCTAGCCCGGGAAGTTCCCCACAGGAGCAGCCCCTCTCCCAAGTCCTAAGCCCTGAGCCCCCAGATCCAGAGAAGCTTCCTGTGCCCCCTGCCCCTCCATCCAAGAGGCACTGCCGCTCACTCTCAGTGCCCGTGGACCTGTCTCGCTGGCAGCCGGTGTGGCGGCCCGCCCCCTCCAAGCTGTGGACTCCCATCAAGCACCGGGGCAGTGGTGGAGGGGGTGGGCCGCAGGTGCCTCACCAGAGCCCCCCAAAGCGGGTCTCCAGCCTCAGGTTCCTCCAAGCTCCCAGTGCCTCTTCTCAATGTGCCCCGGCCCACAGACCCTACAGTCCCCCTTTCTTCAGCCTGGCTCTGGCCCAAGATTCTTCTCGACCCTGTGCCACCTCCCCCCAGAGTGTCTCCTGGGAGAGTGATGCTGAGTCCCTGTCACCTTGCCCACCCCAGCGTCGCTTCTCCTTGTCACCTAGCCTGGGCCCGCAGGCAAGCCGCTTCTTGCCCTCTGCCCGGAGCTCCCCTGCATCCTCCCCAGAGCTGCCCTGGCGACCTCGAGGCCTCCGCAATCTTCCCCGAAGCCGCTCACAACCCTGTGATCTGGATGCTCGCAAAGCTGGAGTCAAACGGCGCCATGAGGAGGACCCCCGGCGGCTGCGGCCTTCTTTAGACTTCGACAAGATGAATCAGGTGGGACCAGCAGGACTAGGGAAACTTGGTTGGGAGGAGGGAGACTCTGTTCCATTTTTACTTCGAAGTGTCCCCTAGTTCCATGCACTCCTGACAGGTTCTTTTCTGTCTGAGCTTCTGCTAGTGTGATTCACCAACCTAGTTGTCCGGGACTGTACCTACTTTAGGACTCAGTGTCCCATGTCGTGTGTAACTCCTTGGGCCTGGAGGTTCTAGAGAAGTTGAGGGGAGACCCATGGTAAATCTTCCAATAGGGATTCCTGATTGTTCTTTTTTTTTTTTTTTTTTTTCCAACGTTTTTATTTATTTTTGGGACAGAGAGAGACAGAGCATGAACGGGGGAGGGTCAGAGAGAGAGGGAGACACAGAATCTGAAACAGGCTCCAGGCTCTGAGCCATCAGCCCAGAGCCTGACGCGGGGCTCGAACTCACGGACCGCGAGATCGTGACCTGGCTGAAGTCGGACGCTTAACCGACTGCGCCACCCAGGCGCCCCAACCTGATTGTTCTGCTAAAGGTGCTTTCCCTCCTCTTCTGAGGATGCATAAGCCTCAAAAGTCACATCATCAGTGCCCTACCCTTTCTTGACCTCTAGACTGATTTTGCCACTCTCCGTCAGTGCTTCCGCTGGGTGTGTGAGGGCTTCAGCAAAACAGGTTGCTGCCTTATTCATCTGTTCAGCAAATGGATTTTGACTTCCCAGTGTGAGTGCAGCTGTTATATGCACTTGTCCACTTTTTTCATACTCTTCCTACTAGTCCATTGGGTCACAAACCCCTTTGAGAATTTACTTATTCAGAGCCATTCCTCCAACCAGTCAGCAAATGTTCCTGAATACCTGCTATGTACTGGGCTGTGACTAGGCTCTTGCAATATTGTTGTGAGACACCCAGATAAGATTCCTGCCTACATGAAGCTTGTAAGTGAGCTCTTAATCTTGAACCCAACAGAAACTATGGGCTCTTTGCTCAAAGAACTGTGCCTGCATACTAAATTTTCTAAATGTTACCAGGGAGTTCACCCACGTCATGCCTAGGACTCATACCTGTAGGGGTAACCAAGAGGGATACTTTGAAATATAGCTTGGACCAGGGTTCTGTGGGAGTTGATATCTTTCTGCATTCTTAACTTTGTTGTTTGTTTGACAGAAACCATACTCAGGAGGTCTCTGTCTCCAAGAAACAGCCCGGGAAGGCAGCAGCATCTCTCCACCGTGGTTCATGGCCTGTAGCCCCCCACCCCTCTCTGCTTCCTGCAGCCCCATTGGGGGTTCCTCCCAGGTGCTCAGTGAAAGCGAAGAGGAGGAGGAGGGGGCCGTGCGGTGGGGGCGGCAGGCACTGAGAAAGCGGACACTGTGCCAGCAGGACTTTGGGGACCTGGACTTGAATCTAATTGAGGAGAACTAAAACTGAGAGGCTACTTCCTGGGGCCACACAGACTGATTCTCTATGGCTACTAACAAGTGTCAAGGCCCCAAGGCCAGGGGCCCAGCCTGGGAATGGGGGTGAGTGGAGGGCTCCGACTCAGGGCAGCCGGAAATCTTCTCGCTCCAGGAAGCTCGACAATGCCAAGAGACTGGCCGGGACAAGATAAACGGAGCTGGTGGCGGGAGGGACAGCCCCAGAGCAGACCCTTCCCATGGCGGCCCTGAGTGTGAGTATCCCTGCCACCGAAAAAGCAATGGGCAGGGAAGGAAGGGGTCTGCTGACCCCAGCTCGGGGAATTTCACTAGCCCCTTTGCTTCAAAGGGCACTTGTGTCTTAGAATTTGGCCAGGGTGGGGGGTTCATTCAGCCTCCTTGGAGAAATTGTGTGAGAGTGTGCGCGTGTGTGGGAGTGTACTTGGGGAAAGGTGTGTTTGCGTAGCCTTAGGGAAGGAAGGCAGTTGCTCCATAACAGCAGAGCATCATGATACCCCCAGGATCTTGAGTTTGCATGGGATAGCAGGCTTATTCAAGGAGTCAAGAGGAGGGCACCAAGTTTTTCTTTTTTCTGAGTAGCTTGGTTTCAGAGCTGATAATCCATAAGCACTGTTGGCTCTGCAAAGGACTCTCTTTTGGGGGATGGCAGGGTCTTTTAAGTGCTGTGACCTTGGCTAATGGTCTTTGTCTTAGACCCGTCCCCTTCCCTAGATAGGTCTAATATTAGGGCTGGAGAGGGCTCTCTATGTTGATTCTGAGCTGGCCTTTTTTTCTTATCAGATTGCCTAGGCTATGTACAACCTGCCTCTTTCTCTAAGTAGATGTAAGCACCTGTGGACAACTGAGGCATGGTTGGATGGCTCCATTTTTCTCTTTCCCTCTCTACTGATGGGATTTTTTCCCCTCACATTCTGAGCTTCGAGGGTCAAGAACAAGGAGGAAAGGCCCTGTGTTGGCCCTCATCATCTAAGGCCAACCTGCAGCAGAAGTGGCATTCAGTCCCCAATAAGCATGGGTAAGCTCATTCCAGCACTATCTTTTGGAAACAGACTATAGGGAAACCTGTTGTCATTAGATCCAGGTCTAACCTCTTTTCAGACCTGCTTGACAAAGAGGAAGGGGATGTCAGCATTTACTAGTTTGCTTGTCTTCCATTCCTGCTTAGAAATGTTTATTTGCCTCTAATTGGACCTGAGAGACCTCAGGGAGGTTGGGGCTCACTAAGGGATTGGCTGAGGTTGTGTAAAGCAAAGGCTGTGAGAAGCAGCTGGGAATTGTTGTTGTTGGATTGAATTTCCTTTTTTTTTTTCTCGCCCATAACTTAAGCCAGGGCAGCAGGTCCCAGTGGCTGCAGGGATGGGTTTAATGACTGTAGGACCCTTGGTAGGGCTGGCACCAGTGAAGATAATACTGAAGCAGCCGCCAAATAGCTTGTTAGGCTTTGTCCGGCTTTGGTTAGACCCTGCACGACTGAATTGGACCTGCCCTTGTTTATTGGAGGAAGGGCATTCTCTTGGATTTCCAGGGTGTCTTAGGACCCAGTTCCTCATGGTAAGGGGAGAAGACCAAAGTCCACATGTTTTCTTCCTCATGGGATTGAACCTGTCATTTTCTTGGTTTCCCACATGTCACATAGGAACATCACTGATGCTGCAGCCCTCTCACCTCCACTCCAGGGGAGGTGGCCATTTCTTCTTGAGGCTCTGGCCCTCAAAGGTTCTACCCTTCCAGGGCTCTTCCCCTTCTCCTGCTAGTTACCATGTATTACCAGTGAGCTACCAAGTCTGTAGGGGCCTGAGAAAGGCTCTCTGGAGAATCCAGGGAAACTGTGAGCCCAGTAGTTGCCCATCCTTGGTTTCATCCCTCCCTTGGCTCTTCTTCTTTAGGCCATAATTTCCCTGGTGCCAGCTGCTTTTCCTCCTGGGGCATCCTTATGCCTGGGCTCTCTGCTGCATATTGGCTGTGCCAGCTTCCAATAGGCCACTAGCAAGACCAGTGGTGTCTCTGTAAGCCCCAAGCTCAAGAAGTGAGGGCAGTAATTCTGCCTCTACCCTGGCTTCCCCAAAGCCCCAGGGTGCCATCCTTAGGGGAGAAAGTCTACAGATAATCATATTTGAATTCTATTACATTAAGATCTGGAAAGTTAAATTAGTTGAAACTGTCATCTTGCTTCCCAATCCGAGCACCCATGACCCTGGGACAAGCCTTTTCAAGAAGTGGTTCATTTTGCTTTACACAGTAGATCTGTTCCAAAAGTTCTGTATAAGCCAAATGCTATTTTGCAATGCATTTGGACTGCCGACCATTAAAAAGCAGCCTGTGTGATTGCTTCTTTTGTAAAGCAAGCAACCTCCCTCTACTTTAGCTGTTTTGACTATTTGGGTTTTCACATATTGGGCTTACCCAGAGTGGAGCACACCTATACAGGGCTGTGGTTGACGCTGGGTAGACATCTGCATCTGTGTTGTGTGTGTGGTGTGGCTGACCAGTAGGTGAGTATTCCTGCGTGTGTGAGTGAAGCCACTCCCAGGCTGGTGCTCTCCTCCTGTGCCCGGTGACTGCCCAGTGGCAGCTCCAGCTGCCCTTCACTCCCACCTGCTGCCAAAGTCCCTGTGCTAATGGGATTACAAATACAAAAAGTGGAAAAAAATTTTTTCGTAAACTTTGTTTTATATTAAAAAAATCCATAAGTCTGTGTGTGTTAAACATGAGGTCCTGCCTCTGTGGCTGTGTTTGAAAAAATAAAGTTTTATTAGAATAATTCATTTTCCCAAGCAATCTTGTGTACTACAGTGTCTTCTTCCCTTCTCCACAAAGAAAAGCAAGGAGGAAGCAGGGAGAAGGCCACCTAACTCTAACAGTCCCTTGCTCTAAGACATGGCTGGGCCTTCGCCCCTCGAGGGCAGTATCTGGTCCTAGGCCTTTTGCAGCCACAGCATTAATACCCTGTGGTCCAGCTTGTGAGAAGGCCTTGGTTATTTTTGGCAGTCTGATTGGTCTTTGTTTCCCTGATAGTGGTAACTATCTCCTCTACCCTGTGGTCAGTCTTCCAATAAGTTGAAGTCAAGTACTAATACATTCTAGCTCCCTGAGAAATGCTTGATAGTCCAGTCAGGAACTTGTCTAGACTGATTTGTAGTCTTTAGGAAGTGGTAAGAAAGCAGTTTGAGAGACTTGACCAGGAATCTTTTTCTTTTTTAAGAGTTTTTACATCTTATGCCCTGGAGAGATGGAGATTTTAGTCTTGAGAATTCAGATTCCAAAGACCTAGGCAATTACTCCATTCTAAAAATAATGCTTTTGGAAAATTATCCTAACAGCAGAGCTTTTTTGCCCCAGAAGTTGGTATTTTCCATAATGATTTAGTTTGGGATGTTCATGTGCTCAGGGAAGGTGTGTGGCTCACTCTCTTTAGACATTTCTATTCCACCTTTTTCCCTGTGTTAGCATTCTTGCAGTTTGGGTAAAATGTAGGAGGAGCCTCTGTCCCTAAGGAGTAGCCTTTCTTTACCAGTTGTGGTGCTGACTTGCCAGGCAGCAAGAAGAGTCAAGTTGCTTAGCCTCCGTCCCAGTTTCCTGCTTCAGATTTGTGGCACTCATCATTGAATACCAATGAAGTGTGCAAGAGGACAGGATTGGCTTGATAACCTGGAGCAGGAACCTTTGAGGGGATGAAAATACACTCCATAAATAGTGAGGGTTGTCACCTGCCCCAGAAACCAAGAAGAGGCTTTGAGGAGGGTGGGGCTTTGGCATGTGGTTAAAGAAGTCTCAGTATTATAAGTTTTTTCCTTACTTAACACTGCTGCTATTTCATTTCACCTACCGTTTGAGCAAGAGTCAAGTTTGAGCATCTCAAATGACTTTTTTTTCCTTTCTGTTCATTTGTTGTTGTTGTTGTTGTTGTTAGATTTTTCTACTGTTTATTTTCTGTGAAGCGAAGTGTGATTGCATTTTCTGTTCCTGAAGTCCTGCTAGTATAAGGAAGAACTCCATGAGAACACAAGGGTTCTGTTCAGTGTTGTGTCCCTGGCATGTTGAAAAGTTAATAGCACATGAAAAGTGCCTACTATGTTTGTTGAATGAATTTCTCATCTTTGCCTTCCCATCCCTGAGCTTAGGCATATTTCTGTCTCTGGTGCTGTGAGAATCCAGCTTTAGACACTGGGGCTGTAATTAGAGCTCCTTATGGGAGAAAGTCTCAACAGTGAATTTTTGTAGGAATCCTGCAAAGCAGGTAGGTCTTAGGGATTCACCCTAGTTCTATTACCAACTACAATTTGTGGGCCATGTGCTTTAAGAGGTGTCTTTTGGCCCAGGAAAGCATTCTGATTCAAGACTCAGGTTGGCTTATGGGAGGTGGAGGTTCTAAGGAATTGGAAGAGAAAAAGTCCAAGGAAATGTTTCCTTGGCATTCCACCAGGTTAGTTCTAGAATGACTTCCTCTAGTGGTTTTGTACTTTTAGAAAAGTCAGTAGTTGCTCCCCGATCCCCAGTGCAGACCCCAACCTTTGCAAGGAAAGTATGTCTAGGGTAAAGAAAAGATATAGTCAGGAGATAACTGGGTAAGCACTTAAGTCTTGGAGAAAGAACCAGCTACTGTTCTTTCTGTAGTGCAGATCATTGAAAGAAATGGCCACTTTGAGGGTAACAATCCATGATTTCTGGTTTGTATCTACTTCCATATATACTCAGTCTGCATCTATAAAGCTATAGAACCTGTGCTAGTCTCTGATATTACCAATGTTAATGGATTTTTTTAATGTTTATTTTTGAGTGTGTATATTTGAGAGTGTGTGCAAGCTGGGAAGGGGCAGAGAAAGAGAGGAAGACACAGAATCCGAAGCAGGCTCCAGGCTTCAAGCTGTCAGTCAGAGCCTGACGCAGGGCTCAAACTCA